GAATCTTTATACCACAGCAAGACATGAAAACTGAGACTGAGTAAAAATCTATTTGTTGTATTGCACAGACTGACATAACCTACTGAAGGTGGGATAATATCCTTCAGGAACAGTCTTCTCTTGTGATAAGAAATGATAATTATAACATCCTCAATATCTACATATAATCTCTTAAAAGAGACAGAAATTACTTTATTACAAATGATTGTGTGCACAAATGGTACATCACTATTCCAAAAGAAGAATTTCAATATGAAGTGCTAATGTTGCATACAGCTTGTGGGGCAGGGAATAGGAGAGAAAGGTAACAAGAAATGTTTTATTTGAGTAGAGCAAAACTTTCTGAGCAAATGAAGTACTGTATTCATAGGGTGACACATGGCATGAGTCACATATGTCTGCAAGTCATGCAACTTCCATGGGCTGTTGCAAGACTCAGCTGACAATGAAAGTTGTCTCCTGCCAGAAAACAAAAAACCTCATGTTAAACTATCTACCATGATACCAATAATGCATGGCAATGTATTCTCTTGGTGCTTGATTTCTTAAACTCTACCATAACCAAAGTATTATGCTGAGGTGCTACATTTTTCTTACCCAGAACCTAACCCCTCCCCCCAGCTTTTCTATTAATTTCATGGTGTATTTTTAGCTTTTATGTTGACAAAACCTAGTAACTTTATTGAAATAGAGTACATGGTTATATGTAGCATTCAGTTATACTTTAGTGACATTCAATCTTAAGCAGTTTGTATTTAAATCAGTTTTCCTTGGGCAGAATATCTGCCATGGCATTTCATGTAATTAGATGATTACATTGTGTAAAAGACAAGAAGAATTGTAGTATTTGCTATTGCCACTATTCTCTGTTGATAGCAGTATGTGTGTGAATGAGGGTAGTGTATTCCTAGCAGAACTCACACACACATGTGCAACAAACAGTTTAGGGAAAGAGTGGAAGATCTAATTTAGGCCTCATCTGAACCCCACAGTAGCTGAAACTAGAAGCTGTTATTGCCATAGCTAAGCATTTGCTTTATGTCTGCTTAGGAGCACCCATGTTCTCACATGTGTTTATCCTTGCCTGTACCAAATGCTTCCTAATAAAACTGCACAACTCTGACTCACAGTAACAATTAAAATGCACATTTCAACATAAAGTTCAAGTGCCAAGCAGAGTGTGACTGGTGGTGTTACAGAAATGGCATTTCTCACCATCCCCCCCCCACCACCACTGTATTCCTAATTTGAGTTATTGGCTTTTCTCTAAGTGAGAGCATTTTTGCTTTGAACTTTATTTTCTCATTGTAGATATCTTTGCTGTTGGAGGCATCTTTACTGATGGAGAAAACCAGGTGCACATCCATCCATTTTAGGCATCACCACACAGCTCAGGTACCTCTCACTTTGACACACACATCCCCTCAGTGCCTGTGCTGCTCACAGTGTTTCATAGGAAGGAAACAGAATGAAATTGTTGTCATTTATTACCTCCCCACCACAGGAGAATCTGTGCTTGGTGGCCTGTTTGTGATTACTTAACATGTTTGTGGCAGAGCAGAAACTGAACCAACATCATCCACAGCTCCTGTCTGCTCTGTAACAACCAGTCCTCTGTTCCTCTGCAAGTCTTTGCACTTTGTTAGGATAAAGATATAGAGACTATTTTTAATGTAAAAAAAAAAACAAACCCAAACACTGTGGTCAGATCTAGTTAAAATATGCAGGTTTGGGCATTCAAATGTTTACATGTTTCATAAAATGGAAATAAACACTTCAGTAAGGTGTGTGCAGAAATAGTCACTTTTAGTGTTTTCGAGTCATATTACCATTAGTATTTAATAGAACTTTATCTTCTAAAGAAGAAATTTAATTCCATTTTTGTAAATAATATGGAACCAGTACTGGAAGAGAAGACTGACTTGTGATATTGGCAAAAAACATCAGCTCTGGGGTTGTTTCTTTTCATATGAAAAAGTTTAGATTTAACAAAGGTCCACAAATACATTTCTAGAATTAAAAGGTGGCAGTGAATCAAAAGTTTAACCATTATTACAGATTTTCTTCTAAGAGTTTGTCTCTAGAATTTCTTCTGTAGTACTCACAGGGTTCTTTTTGGATAATCATAGGTTTGGATACAGGAGTTGCTTGACTTCTGAGGAGATAATTTTTACTGGTAGAGATGACAGGATAGGGGGTACACTCATCATAAAAAAAGCCTGTAGTCAAAGAAAGCAAATGTGTTATTTACATTCATGTAGAAATAAATAAATTACAAGAATTTGTCTTGGGTATGATTTTTTAAATGAGATGTGCCCTCTTCCCTTGGTCAGTACTACACAGGATTTGATTGGCATTAAGTTTGTAGTTAACCTGAGGAGAAAAACAGTGATGTAAATCTGCATTTGCTAATCCCAGTATCCTCCTGCAGCAGAGACAATAGGAATAAAACCATACAGCTAATCACAAATTTGTTCAAAGATGTTTTTAGTGGTTGCAATACCAATCTGATGAAACATTTACCCTGAGTATGGTAACACACTATCATTTCCAGGCTGACAGAAGCAAGGGGAAATGCAGATATGCTTTGCCAAGTGGCTGCAAGGCTTGTGGGGTTTTTTGATGTGGTAACATGGCACGTGGTAATGAGTGTCATTTGGTTTGCTTCTGACACCCTTTGCTGTGAATGAAATCTCAAGGGCCAGAAAGGTTTGATTCTTCTTTTGCACCAATTTAAGTCATAAATTAGCCCAACAAAATTCATGGAATTATTATAATAATGGCTTAACACAAATCTAGATGGAGTGACAGCAAATAAAAAATAGTAAAGATAACTATCTCCATTAAAAGAAAAATACATAGTTGAGTGAGAGAACCAGGCCACGAGTATGCATACATATAATTAATTACCTCAGAGATGCTACAAATGGACCTTGATAGAATGGTTTGGTTTGTTGTTGTTTTGGTTTGGTGGGGTTTTTTTTGTTAACACTTTCATTAAATGGAACAAATAACAAGGTATAGCAATGAATTTGTTCTCTGGAACTGGATATTATCTGTTACACCTTTTCCCATTGCCCCACATAGGCACTGGAGGAAGCAGAAACAGTGTTTACGAGGACGCCTTAAAAACCAGAAATGCAACAATGTTTTCCTCTGTACCAATCTGTGCAGGTGGCAGGGGAACACACCAGTGTCTTTCTTTTCAAATAACCAGGCCACTCAATGACAGCTTTCGCAATAATTTAAACCACTGCTCTCTTGGGTCTGCAATTACCTGAGTATTAATGACAAGCAAAATACATCTTTCCCCTGCAGCCAAGGAGCAGTGTGCTCTCTGCCTTCATTACCCTCAAAGAGAGCTGAGAATGTGTCCTCTGGATCCTCAGCCTACACCTGACATCCTGAATAATTACACCCAAGCAAGAAAAGAGTGGCCTTCTAATATTTGTAAATGGGTATGTACAACAAGTGTTGCAGAGCCACTGCTGTTTCATGCACATTGCTGTGGGTTTGGCCTTCTGTCCTACATCCTCTGCTCCTAAAATTCTTGCTCAGAGCTGCACAACAAAGCTGCAGCAGTGTGCTCCTGCCTGTGACCCCTCTCCAGCCAGGGAGCACTTCAGCAAGGGTTCAGCTCCAACAGGGCAGAGCACACCCTTCACCCCGGCCCTGGGTGCAAGGTTTGGGCTGCTGGGTGGTGTGTGAGGATGTCCCAGCTGCAGTCTCCATCTGCACAACAAACCAGCATTGTGTCCAGCTTGGAAAGAACAAGGCTGCCTTTGTGAAGGCATTCATTTCCTACGGGGTCTTTTCCAGATAACCTGCTTCATATTCCGAGTGGTAAAATGATTTGGAGACACCATCAAACCAAATAAATGATAGAATTTTGTTACATTTCACTGAAATGCAAGTAATAAAAGCATGTGACCCACCACAGCTTTATTAGATGAGACCCTCTGAAAATGTTATTTTTCCAGAGAAGGCATGGGCAGCATGACATCCATTTGGGTGTTCCAGGGGCTGGGAGATCCCAGAGCCTGTCAGCACAGGGAGCACAGTGAGCTGCTGTGCTGGTCCCTCCCAGCAGCACCAGCTGGGTGTCTGTTTTAGAGCAGATCACAGTTTGTGAAACACTTTCACTCAGTGCAAATAGTTTCACTATTTTAATGTTGGATGCTGTTAAGAAAGCAGATGGAATCAAGTAATCTCTTAATGTGCAATTCAGCACGATAATAAACGGCCTAAAATTTACCATGAGAACTATCCTAAAGATCTTTTTTGCTGGAAAAGGCCACATTTCCAGTGGGCAGCTGTGGAAAGGGACACTGCCACAATGAGTCTTGCTGTATTTAATTCTCATGCTCTTACTTTTCCTTGTGCCTACACCCATAACATTCACCTCCAGCTCATATTAGGGAACCAATAAAAGGCCATTTTTACGGCATCACAGAATCAATTAGATTGGAAAAGACCTCTGGCTCATCGAGTCCAACCTATGACCAAACACCACCGTGTCACCCAGACCATGGAGTGCCACATCCAGTCTTTTCCTTAGACCCACGGATGGTGATTTCACCACCTCCCTGGGCAGCCCGTTCCGATGTCTGATCACCCTTTCTGGGAAGAAATTTCTCCGAATGTCCAACCTAAACCTCCCCTGCCGCAGCTTAGGGCTGTTTCCTTGTCTTGTCGCTCGTTGCCTGGACAAGAGTGATCCTCCCGCGGCTCCCTCCTCCTGCCAGGGAGCTGTGAAGAGCCACAAGGTCCCCCCTGAGCCTCCTTTTCTCCAGGCTGAGCCCCCCCAGCTCCGTTCCCTTCTCTGGACCTCCTTTAGTGACATTCCAAAGCCGTGAGGAGACAAAGCCGAGGTTTCCGCGGGCCGTCCCCGCCCCGCCCGCGGAGGGGCCGCGGTGCCCGAGGGCCGCCGGGCCGGGCCGCCCCCGCGGGGCGGCGCGGGGAGATGATGCCGGGAGATGATGTCAGCGGCGGGCGGGCGCTCAGCCATGGTGTGAGGGCAGGGACTGAGCCGGCCCGGCCCGGCCCGGCTCGGCGGCGGCAGCAGCACCATGTCGGGCCCGAGCGCCGTGTCGGACCCGCAGCACCCGGCGCGGCTGCTGCGGGCGCTCAGCTCGTTCCGGGAGGAGACGCGGTTCTGCGACGCGCACCTGGTGCTGGAGGGCGAGGAGATCCCGGTGCAGAAGAACATCCTGGCGGCCGCCAGCCCCTACATCAGGTACGGGCGGGCCCGCAGCCCCCGGGCGGCCGCTCGGAGGGGCCGCGCTGCGGGGAGCGGGGCCGGGGTTATGTAAGGAGCGGGATCCGCCGAGTGTGAGGGCGAAGGAGTCGGGGAAGGCCGGCGGGGGGGTCTGCGGACCCCGGCTGCGCCTCGGCCCGGAGTTGGCCCGAGGGTGTGGAGGCTCCCTCCCCGGAGACATTCAAACCGCAGCTGGACGCGTTCCTGTGTCACCTGCTCCAGGTAGGAGCTCCTGTCCTGTGCCTTGGCAGAGGAGCTGGACTGGGTGATCTCTAGAGCTCCCTTCCAACACCAGCTATTCTGTGGTTCTGTGGGAGCAGCTGCTGGGGCACCTCCTTCCCTCCTCCTTCCCTCCTTCCCTGCCTCCGGCCGGTGCCGCCCGGCCCCTCCGCAGGAGCCGTCGTGTTCTCGGCATCACACCGCTGCTTTTCTAGCTCTGAGAGGCTGTGTCACCCACCAGGGAAAAAAATCCTCCCAACAACTTCATTGCTGCAGGCGTCTGGTGTGAACAAGTAACCCCGAAAGAGTGAGGTGTGAGGATGGTGAGGGAGGTGTCCGGCCGAGGGGCAGCATCCCAGGGCATTGTGAGGTGCTGGGCTCTGTGTGTCCCTCGGCCGCACCGAGTCAGCACTTCAGCATCATTTTTTTTTTTTCCTCCTTAATGTCTTTTAGCAAGACAGGGCTCCAGGTGGTGGTCATGGGTTCTGAAGTACATCGGCTTATAAATTAGAAAAATAAAAATACAGATTTGTCTCCCCATCGCTTGTGCCCCCGCAGCATCTAAGAACATCACTCGGAAATTGCCAGAGGGACAAAGCCTGGCCGTGCCAGGATCGCTGGCAGCTCTTGGCAGGGGTGTCACCAGCATGTGCAGTCAGAACTGTGCCACTGACAGCGAGTGCTGGGGAGGATGAGCTGCATTAGCACAGTCATGGTTTCAGCCTGGCAAACTGCTGCTCCTGGGCTGTGTGTGTGCAGGGAAACCCAGGTCATGGAAAGTCCTGCTGACACCAGTCTGAACCCCATCACACTCAGTGCTGACAAGTCCAGTGACAGCAGGTGAAAAGAATATAGCCTCCACGAGATGTTATGGTACATGTCTGCATGTCAGAGTGGGTAAACAAAACATACAAGTGGTTAATTTCAAAGGGTTTTTAAGTCCACTCATTTGCAGGTAATAAAGGCATTTGTTTTGTTTTCATGTGTAAAGTAGGAGCAGACCTTCAGTATCATTTAAACACAGGATTATCATAAATCTGTAGCAGACTTTTTGTACTGTTTGGACAGTTCTTCCAGCTGCTGCTTCCTGTGAAGCTGTCATAAAATCTGCATCTTTTTGCTAGGTCAGGATGGGAATTCTTTATGCTACAGTCTGAAAAAGTGCAACCTTGTGCAGTGTCATATAATCTGCTTTTAGGCAATACATTATTTTGGGTGACCACTGTAGTACAACTTCAACATTCTCAAGTACAAAAATAAACTAAAAATAAATAGAATATGAGGCCGGTGAATAACTTTTAAATAGCAGTGATCATGCACAGACTTAAGTAAACAGTTCTCTGCACTGACTAAGCTAGCAGAGCTGAGATATAACATGAAATAAAATGCACATAGAAGGAGATCATCAAGAATTTGCAAAAAGGATGTGGTGGAGCCTATGTATTACTAATAATTTTTCGTCACTGCTTGTCTTGAGAAGCATGTTTGGAAGACTGTGGTGAAAGAAATCAAAGATGTGAAATAGAAATGAGCCATTGATTCATACTCTTCAAAATGCCTGAATGCTTTTTAGGCCATTGGACATCGTATTTGAGATGGCCATATGCCTGACATTAGATTTCAGAAGAGTTGCTGTAGGTGGTAAGAGGTCATGTCCTTGGAAAAACTGCTGTTCTACTGCTACAGCAGGATGAGTTTAGAGAAAATGTCAAATTTTTTACTGTGAAAAAAAAAAGCTTAACTAAAAGATACTGTAGATCATCCTATGGAGAAGTGTCTTTTCACAGAATTTCATCTTTAAGTTTTGCATTTTGTTAATCTGTGAAAAATGTACTGGGGAAACATGGGTTAATTGTGTGTGAGGAATAAGAGCTCCAGACACAACTACATTAGCAACAAAACTTGTAGTCATTAGAGTTGTGGTTTTTTTAAACTCAGAATTGTTCAGGTTCAAATCTCATGAAGGAACTCATTAACTATGTGTGAAAGTAGGTTACATGCATTAATATATAAATATGATTAAGTGTGAGGTTTGGTGTATTTTTTTTTAAGCTTACTCATGTCTTCTCCTCAGGCTTTCAAGATGTAAAGAACCAAAAATACATGTACCTAGTTCTTGCATGGCACATTAGGAAACACATTTGTATTACCTACCTTTGCAGAGCCTAATTTTTACTTGCTGTCTGTCTCTCTTCTTTTTATCACTCCAGGATCTCTCTCTTAGTCCAGCTGGTCTTCACATTGGGTAGGATTGGTCAGGTAGGTTGCCAGTGGTGGAGCATTGTGTTTCCAGCCAAGGAAACACAGTGGCTTTTTTTGGAGTTGAAATTAATCTCCACCTTGTGCCTAGTCTGTGCAGCTCCCATTTATTTTGAGTGTTGGTTTTTCAAAGAAAATCTGTTTAGGCCTCTATATAAACAGTTATTGCAGGAGACACAAGCATTTCCTGCCCCTGTATTTTAAGGGTAGCTGATTCCAAAGCTCTGGTACCACAAGCTGCTACAGTCTCCAAATGCCAATTGATTCAGATTGCTCTCATTTGAAAAATTCCAATATAAAGCTCAGAAAAATCCATTAAGTACTTTCAGAAGTAAAACTTGGAATAAAAACAATCATTTACGTGAAACTTGAAGTGAAGCAGTGGAAGTATGAGTTGCTGTGGTGTTTGCAGTGTCTGGCTGTCTCATTATGTGCTGTGGCTGTGGGCAAGTTGGTGGGCGAGTTCAGAAGCTGTAGGGTTTGCATGAATGCCTAGTTTAGGGTGTGAGTAGGAAAATAAGTAGGCATGGACTTTGTGAGGGGGTGGTTGGGTGTGAGCAGTCTGTGTGTGCTGAAGGATTTGTGCAGCCACGGGGAGAGGAGCGTTACCTGTTTTTTAGTTTTGCATGGAAGCTCTTTGGCTGACTGGTTATGAGTAGGACACTTGTAAATTATAGTGATGTGTTTTCTCACTAGTTATTTGGCAACTGGATTATCCATGGAGCTCAAAGATAGAAGCTTCAGTGGGGAGAGAAAAAAAAGGCATGAAGGGGCACAGAAACACATTGGAAGTGTTACTGGTGTCATGAGTCCCACCTGATTGTCTGATCCATTGGCTGCTGCAAGTACAGAAAAATAAAAAAGGCCTGTTTCATTTTCAAATTTTCAGTCTGTGGGACCAGTAAGAATTTTAATTTTTGTGGTAGTTTCATTCTTGAAGTTTTGCCTCTACTGCTTAATGCCAAGTGGTTTGTAGCTCTTTCAGGCCAGTGAGGTCTGGAGCAGTTGTGTGAATTCCTACAGAATTCCTTTATGTGTACAGGTTTATCTAATCCCTCTGTGTGCCCCTGGAGCAAATCCTGCCATTTACAAAGCACAGAAGTCTCCCTGCTTATCTCTAACATCTTGTGGTATGTTCCTGAGCCTGAGAAAAGGAGGGTTCCTCAGGAAGAAACTGCCACAGGACAAAGTGTGGTTTGGCTCAAGGTGATGCTGCTGTGCATCCCAGAGCAGTTATATTCAAGCCAGGTTAGCTCTTGGTTTTCTCTTCTGTAATAAATCAGCCAGAAACCTGCCCTTTTTTTGGTAGCACTCTTTGTCCTGGCGATTGCCTTAGTGTAGATCCATTGCCCTGGTTTAATTTATTTCGTTTGAGAGCTTGGTGTAAATTACAGTGGCGTGTGAGGGCTTTTCCCTGAGCAAACCATGCTTGCACTAGTAAGTTTGGCCTGAGCTGTGGCATAGATCCACCAACCTTTTATAGGATAGATTTGGTCCAAGCATTCCTGGTATCCTCAGCAGTAGCAGCAGATGTTCCCATCTGAACAGATCTGTCACTGTCTGGCATGAGTCGTTCCTGGCCAGCTGAAACTTGCAACTCTTTATATTTTGCTCACCTACTGTCTGCTTGCCTGGATCACAGGGAGCACGTGGGAACTACCTCAACAAAGAGGATATTTAAGCCCATATTCTTAGACAAATTTAATGTTGTTACGCAGGGATTGTGCTGCTGCATTACAAATTGAATTAAGACATTTTTGTTACCTCAGCAAGTTTTGTCTTTGATTTTCACACATCTGCGTGAGCAGATTACAGATGGCTCTGTGTGTTCTATACTGTTCCCCAAGGCTTTCCAAATTCAGTAATGGATCAGTAATCATATTTAAATCTTTTTTCAGAGGAGCATAATATAACTAAACAAGAATGTAAATGTAAGGTTAAGTTCATATTATTTTAATGTACTTATAAATAGCTGTACTGCTTGTAAATGGGTTTTGGTCAGAAATAACCTGACAGCCTTTGCATCCTTGCACTTGTCCTGTTCAGCCTTCTGACATCCCTAAAACACTGCAGACCTTGCAAGACCCTGCACAGCCATGGGCAATGCTGAAATAGATTTCCATGGAGATGTGGGGGGACGTGTCCCCCATCACTGACCTCCTGCCCTTTCCTCTGTGTGCTGGCACTTGAAGCATTTGCAGCTGTCACGAGGGGAGCCTGCTGAGACTCCATCCCTGTGTGAGTGTGTCTGGGAGCATCTGTGAGTGCTGGTGTGGGAGGTGGGCCGGGATGTCCCTCCTGCACCCTGGAGGTGCCGCTGGGCACTTCTTGTTATACCTGTTGGACAATGAATATAGAGCAAGGTCAAGTAGGAGCCAACACATGCCAGGAGCTTCTGCTGCTTATTTCCTGGTACCTGTTTGTTTTTTACTGACATTTATAGAGATCTTTTATAATGTTTTAAAACTTTTCTTTAATTTGGGATGAATGTTGAAGTCAGG